TCTCTCTCTAACTCGCTCCCTCACCTCGGCCACAACACGTACAGCTTGTCAAGCGGCAGCTCGGGGACAAGGAACTGCCTCACGTAACTCAGGGGGAAACAACTGTCCAGCTGGACACACACGGTCAGTAGGGGGCAGGCCGTCCGGGTCTCTCGCCAGGTGGCGTTGCTCACAGGTCGGGCCGGTAAACGGAACAGCTCCAAGTAGAGGCGCAGGTGACGCAGCGTTTTGCTGACCATAGACCACAGAACGACTCATCATCAGTACCATAACTCTCACTGATTCACAGCAACAACAATAGCAGAAACAACAACGACGACGATGACGACGACGACGACGACGACAACAACAACAAAATCATGAAAAAAGCAAATACATAACTCCTGGATTTGACCGGTACACTCCGCTGGGTGTGTGGGGGTGGGGGGGTGGAGGGGTGAGAGACAGAGTTCTTTATCATTTATCATTACTTACAAATCTATATTCATTTTCTGTCTTTGAAATTGGTCATCTGATATTAACTTAATTGTAGACTATCGTGTCACCTGCATGTTGAGTCTTGAGTAAACCTCTTTAGGAAGTTGTCATCCACATGCTGAGCGCCCACCCCGAGCTCGCGCAGGCGGAGAAAGGATGACGTCATCAGATGGCAGAAGCGAGGCCCCTTGGTAGCCCTGTAGTTGACCTGAAAGAACTCTCTCAGGTCCAGCTGCTCGATGGAGTACCGGGAGAGGCTAGGGATAGACAGAAGAATAACACCATTAAATTACAAGAACTGTGAAATACGAACACATCAGCTGACGTTATAATTACAATTTTTTTCTCTTCTTATTGCCCTCCCCTCCAAATAACGACAGCATAAATGCCACCACCACTACCATTACTGCTACAACTATCATTGTCTTCCAGGATGATGACGACGACAAGAGAAACAACAGCAACAGCAACATCACAGGCAGCACTTTAACGCATCTCTAACAACAGCAACAACAACAACAACAAAGACGACAACGACGACGACGACAACGATGACGACGATGACGACAACGTCAACAATAACAACAGCAGCAACAACAACTACAACGAGAAATACAACAACAGCAGCACTATAACCACCTCAAACAACGACACCAACAAACATCAACACAACCACCATAACTAAATCAACCTATATTTCAGCGCCTGGAGAACCCGCGCGCCGTCGTCAGCGCTGAGGCGACAGGACGTCAAGGTCACGACCTTCAGAGACTTCTGGGAACGAAAGAAGTTGCAGAGCGCGGCCAGAATGCTCTTGCGGGACAGCGTGAAGAGCCGCCAGCGCGTGAAGATGTTGAGCTTGCTGACCTTGAAGGAGCGCACGTGCTGGGCATCTGGGTGGAGGGAGATGTGGGCCAACAGACGCTGGACGCCGTCAGACATATACCAGGCACGGGCGGGAAAAGGCTGCTCGATCTTCAAGGTCACGTCACGGAGATAATGGCCCTTGCGCTCTATCAGTCTGTGGTGTGGATAATAATATATTGAGGAGGAATCGGGAAAGGAGAGGGGGCGGGGATATGTTCACAGATGGATAAGGGGATGCATAGGAAGAATAGATGAATGGATA